AAAAAAAAAAAAAAGAGAGAGAAGCTCAAATTCTGAGCTTCCTGAAAAAGCTCTACATTCTACAGGAAATTTTAATGCTCAGTTGATGAAATGTTTAAATTGACAATATTATCCTTTTCATTTTAAATTTTTAATAAAATGTCTAATATATACAATTTAAACCCTCCACATCAATATTTCGAAAAAAAATATTCGACTCCTTACACTACACATGACACCTTTTAATTTTTTCCCAAAAAAAATCTAAAAAGTCATTTTGTTGCTAATAAAAATATTTGAAAAATTTCGATTAATTATTACTGAGATTCCTAGTGCAAATTTGTTTGGTAAATTCATTACATTGTTATAAAATATATTTGTTGGTAAACTCAAAGTTAAGAAAAAAAATGAAAAAAAAAAAAAAAGAAGAAGAAAGAAGATACTGCTTAATTCATAGATTATCATGAAGGACATGGTGAAAATTTTAAATTGATTAGGGACCTACACATATTTTATTTAAACAAAAAATTTTAAATAATGTGATTTGGTACTAAAATAGTTGTGCCATAATAATGTAATTGAGATATTTTTTAATAGATTGTTAGGATATATAAATACTTAATGTTAAGTCTAACAAATGTGTAGTATGTACAAGTCAGAAATTAAAAATGTACTTTTATTTTGTTAAGTTATCAAACAATCAATTCAATGTTCACAACCCTTTTGGATAAACAACATAACTGTCAAAAACTTGGTAAAACTGCTCTTCTTCGAAAGTTTTACTCGTGAAAGCACTAGATTCAAAAGCTCTACCGACAACTGTGCCAAACAGACCTTTCGTAGCTGTTAATGTAAGAAAAGAAAATGAATTATGAGGTTAAACAGTGTCTGAATCAACTGATCTCATATCAGTTAATGGACGAAATGTTTACTCAAATGGGCAGGTTTTCCATTTTCAAAATTATATAATGCTCTCTGAAGATGAACTACCATGTTTGGGTCTATAAACCTTTGTTGAATTTTTTATAACTTCTTTCTGTCCTCACCGCATTGTAAAATATGTCTGCGAATCTCAATTTATTGCATTCTGCAAAATAAAGCTCCTGATTTATCTCTTGGTGGTTTGAAGGCTTGTGTTTTATACGTTCTGCGAGTAGGTGTAACCGATCAGATGAGCGAACCTACTCAGAGAGGCTTTTTAGTTTTTCTTGGCAAGCAGGTTTTCTACAGTAATCCTATTTTTCTCTCATCCTTTTGTGCTTTTGACACACTAAATTTTCTGTTAGCATATTTTGGTGCCTAACAAGGACAGTTTTTGCAGCTCCAGTCTTCTGATTCCTCCCCTTCTATGCGGGTTGCAGCTTTACGTACTCTAGCATATGTGTTGAAAACATTGGGAGAGGTGAATCATTTTTGGTTGCTTTACTTCTAGCTGCATCATGTTGAAAGTCTCTGCTGAAATTTTTTGCTTATTGGTCATGGAAAAGAATTCTCCAATTATATTGGGCACCATAATTTGTCAAGAGTACTATCTTTTTTTATTTTGATTTACTGCAATTGTTCTGATAACAAATATTGGGCTGAACTCTGCTCCCATCCCCTAGGATTTGGGGATCCTAAGGAAAAATATTTAAAAAAAATTATGTTTTTTATCAACAAGAATACCAGCAAAAGCATTCCAAGTGGATAATTTCTTGTATTGCATACTTTCATCTGGAAATATCTTCTTTTTTCACATTTTGAAGGATCCACATCGGTTTTCCTCGTGTAATGAAATCTGCATTGCTATATAATAATGAAGTAATTGCTGCTGAAATTGAACACCTACAAAATTGATTCATATATATATATATATATATATATATATATACATACGTGTGTATATATATACGTGTGTATATGTATACGTGTGTATATGTATATGTGTGTATATATATGTATATATGTATATATATACACACATATATATATACATATATATATGTGTGTGTGTGTATATATGTATATGTGTGTGTGTGTGTGTGTGTGTGTGTGTGTGTATCTACACACACACACACACACACACATATATATATCCACAGTTTTTAGGAAATATACCTTTTTTTTAATTATTTTACAAGTTGGAGAAAAGATTCACGCCTAATAACTGTTCTTGCTGCTTCAGGTTTGCTTAAGTTTGGTAAAAAGGTGTTTAGCATCCTCAGTTTCTATCTGGGATCTCTTTGCAATTCTACTTGATTTATTTGTTTCATTCCTCTGAATTAAACAAGAATATAAAATATGACTTTGATTAAATACTTACTGTCATTGATGTTTCCATCTGGGGACTCTTTGCAATTGTACTTGATTTACTTGTTCAAGTCCTCTAAATTAAACAAGAAAATAGAGCATTACTTTAATTAAATACTATCTTTACATCATTTATTTAATTATAACAAGTTTGCTGTTATGCTGACCAGGTAATGATAATGCTTCGGTATGCTGTTTGCAGGTTCCACTTGAATTCAAGGAAGTTCTTGATGACACAGTTGTTGCAGCACTTTCCAATAATTCACAACTGGTATGTTTTTGGTCTTTCATTGTGAAAAAAAATGTCCAAACACCTCTTAACTTCTAATTAAATAGCTAAATTTATTAAAATATGGTAATTCTCCAGTGCCCTTGCTATTTTAGTGAAATTTGATGCATACAACCATCTATAAAAAGTTCATGCATGAACCCAAAATTGGCAAGTACATGACTCACTGTGAATGTATTAATCTGGTAACTGAAAAAAAAAAAAATTCTATTCCCTGTGGGGGTGTTTATCTGTCACATCCCACTTGGAGTTTAGAATTCTCGAGATCTTCCTTCACTTAGAATTCAGAGTTCTATTTTTTACTGTTATGAAATCTTTTCTTTCTTTTGGGCACACCATCTGGTTGTAGATGCTTTTCGACCAACTCGTTACACTTAAAACCACCCATGCTTGCTGTGGTCATAGATCCTCCGTATCTACTCCATATGAATGATTCTTCTTTCAATACTCTTACAATGATTTAATTGAAAATTACTTGCACCTTGAAGTCGGTTTGCTGGTATTGTGTATAACCTCTGTTTTGTGAACTTTATAGATATGATAGCATAAATTCTCTACACGTGTTTCCATTATTGAGAGTTTGTTTTGTATAAGAATTTGGAAGGGTCTTGGGTATGGGCACAGTACCTGATCAGGACATTAGCATGAGCTATTGAGCTAGAAGTGCAACTGGACCAATTGCATCCAATCCTTGTCTGGGATAGTGGAGGTGGTAGAAAAGGTCTTGAAGTATGATAAGACTTCTTCATGATTGTTGAGGTGTTGAATACTGGAGATTTGAAGGGATAATGGACATCGAGATGGTAGCAATGGCATTCTCATTTCTTGGGTTCTCTCCATCGCCAAGTCACTAAAGGGGAAAGCCATTTTTTTAGTCATATTCTTATTGATTTTATTTTCGTTTCTTGGGAACATTTTGTAATTAATCTATGTATCTTCCAAGGCTTTTGTGTCTTTTCTCTATCTGTACACATCACATGGACAAGTGTAGGCACCGTAGATGGAACTTATATTTTTTATTAAGAAGGAAGGTCACTCTTCAGTTTTCTGCAAAACAACGTGGCATAGCATGCTGTAGTTAAAATTGTCATAGTTGCTTTGCATCCTTTACTCTTGATGCATACTTCTCTTCAAATTTTGTCACTGATTTGCTTTATATTAACATTGTTGCAAGTGAATTTTTTATTTTTTATTTTAGGTACGGCATGAGGCTGCATTGACACTTCGTGCATTGGCCGAGGTTGATCCCTCCTCTGTTGGTGGCTTAATTTCTTATGCAGTGACAATGCTTAGTGCAGCGAGGGAAAATGTGTCCTTTGAGAAGGTAAAACTATGTTAATGAATGAAAACCGAATTAAGAATCTGGAAGCAAGTGGTAATGAATAGGGAGAGGATAAATAGTATGCAGATTGACATTGGCTTGAATTTGCAAAGACGATTAGTTATTGATTTGGTATCTTAGATAATAGGCAAATGATTAGGTAGTTGTGCTAGATGTGAAAGAGATGGAAGAAAAATATACTCGATAGGAAGAAACACTGTCATGCGTCCCCCCCCCCCCCCCCCCCTTCTTACTAGAATGCCCCCCCCTCCAATTTTCATAATTTATATCAGATACCTCTCCCCCTCTCTTCTTACATTGATGGGAACACTTTCTCTGTGCTTTTGATTCAATTTTCTTTACTTACAAAAACTTATCTTGAACATAAACTTTACTTTTAACCCAGTCAGACTTATAGAGTCTAATCAGGGTTTGTAAATCATATCAGAGCATGAAAAATAATAATTTCACGAGTAGCTTACTGCACCTTCCTTTGGCATTTATTTTCAACCAATTTAAGGAAATGAAGAGAAATACTCATGCAGCATTTTAAGAAACCATGATAGTGTGACCTGTGTAATAGAAACCTACTATTAAGCATCATTTATGCATTGATTTGTTTATTGTATAACTGCTGACTCATAATATTTCTTTTTTGCCACCACTCTGTATATTTCATTACTCCATTGGTCATTTTCCGGTACGATGACAAAAGAACTGCCACATATTTTCCGTGTTTTCTATTTATCATTTGTAAGTGAACTATGCTCCTGTAGTTCTGTGTGGTTTCTAATTCTATTTGAATTAATCAATTGAAGAAAATTAATAGAACGAAGAGCATTACAACTATGCTTTATATTTTGCATTACAATGCTATCTTTTTGCCTCTCATTTCATCAAGCTGGTTATCTTCTTCAGGACCCATTGTTTCCATTTGCCAATAAGGTGTAGATTGTCCTTTTTCATGATTTGCTGATTTATTCTTTCATGTACATGGAATTTAGGGATCTAATTTGAAATGGGAACTTGATACTCTGCATGGACAAGCTGCAGTTTTGGCAGCACTAGTGTCTATTTCACCGAAGTTACCTCTTGGGTATCCAACAAGGTAATGCTCTTCAGATCATATCTCCCTCTCCTTCCTTCCATTGCTTTAAATAATTATTACACACAGTCTCCCTAGATGTCCATGCTTCTTATGTAAAGCCTTAGTAATTCTTGAAAGCAATACATTACACGGTGCTCTAGTCATTCTGTGAGATAGTCTCCGGCCTACATAAAGTCTCTTAGTTTTCTATGCAAAGTTAATCAGTATGTCATCCTGTGTCTGTGTGCTTTGGACAACCTTGATATGGAATTATACAAACTGATTTAAGCTTCTTAACTTTAAATCATAATTGGATCTGAATAGAAAAATTCAGGGGTTTGAAATGATTGGTTGCATGTAAAAGTCCAATAGAGGAGCACTTCTGATCATGCATCTAAGATTTTGAAAATGTACTATACCTTTCCCTTACGATGGACTGAAGGGTCCTGGTTCTTTCTCGACAGTTTTATCCTAACACGAACCTCCTTTTTTTGTCTAACTCAAATTTCAGCATCCACACATTTCTGTTCCTTGAAATTGCCTTTTGTTCATAAGCTTGCACTAAGATTTTTTCTACCTCCAACGAGGGCAGTATGACAATGATTCATCTTATCAAGCACATAGCTTAACAAATATCCCGACCTACCTAGCTCATTTGAATTTCTCATTATGTTGTTTTCCAGATGTAGGTCCAATGTGAATTTCACTTGACTTCCAAAAAGAGAACAGGAAAAATTTCACGCGTTAACCTTATAGTTTTGCGTGTCAGAACATTTGCAGTGACTCATCCCATGCATTCCCTTCACAAGATGACCTCAGACCCTCCTAAATTGGTTTCAGAACATTACTTCTCTTTGCTCATCAGTATTGCCTGTCCATACAGGCCTTTCACCCTTTTTCCATACCATCCCGATTCTCAATTTTGCCAAGTTTGTTTATATTAATCTCCAACTTGATACAGTTCACATGCCATGGCAATTCAGAATTAGTGGAGAAAACTGAGCTGTCATAGACTCTTATTAAGAGAAAAGTGACTAGTTATCTGTGCTACTTACTCGATCGGATCTGCCATTATCTTGTTTATAGTCACTGTTTGCTTCAAACGTTTCATCTGGTCCAATACCTTTTCCTTTTTTGGGGGGTGCAAAGGGGCTCATGATGTCCCAAGCTTAGTAATTGATCTGTACTTTATTCATCCAACTATAATTTCATTCTGACATTTTTCCTAATCTTTTTTTTTAAATATATATATTTTTTTCTTTTTTTTTTCTGGGTGGGGTGGATGCAGATTGCCCGCATCCATACTTCAAGTTTCCAAGAACCTACTGACAGAATCTAGTAGGAATCCTGTAGCAGCTGTTGTAGAAAAAGAAACTGGATGGATACTTCTGTCTTCACTGCTGGCTTCTATGTCGAAGGAGGTAACCATATCTATTTTGATGCTATTGGTATCATTGCCAAATTTCGTTTCTTAAGGTGATACTTTCATTGGAAGCAGGAGCTTGAGGACCAAGTCTTTGATATTCTATCTTTATGGGCTTCTGCATTTGGTGGGAATCCAGAACACCACATCAATCAAGCACAAGATCTGGCATCAAATATAAGGTTGGCCAATTTATATTCACCTTTATCTTCCCCGATTGCAAACTGCCTTGTGTTGTTTATTAGGTTCTAAGAGTGCGTTTGTTTGCCAATATTTTCCATAAAAAATGTGTTTTTTTTAATCCAAATTCCTATTTTTGTGTTGTTTGATTGCCATTTGTTTGCATGGAAAACATTTTCCTACTTTTAGTCATGTGACCATATTTTCCTCAAAATCAAGGAAAATACTTTCTTTAGGAGGAGTAAGATTTTATTTTTCAGGGAATTCGCTTTCTCTTTCTCTCTCTAATCTATCCACTCTCTCTCACCTATCCACCAATAAAAAATGGACAAATAAAATATTTTCTAGGTTAAAAATTAAATCAATCAAATGCACTCTAAATATTTCCATGCAAATAAGTTCTAGACAATTGAATTAACTAGAATTTATTTTATTTTCATGTTTGCAATCAAACGCACCCTAAATGTTACGTGTTTTGGACTTCGTATCTTTTTATATTTTTAAATACAATAGAACATACTTGAAATGAAATGAGCATGTATTTTCAAATCAATAAGATAAAAAAGTGAAGCTGTATTGTTAATAGGCTTCGAAGATGATGTATGTTGCAAAGTTTCACACGGTTTAGAAATGGTTATGTGGTGTATATTTCAAATTTGGTCGCTTCCTACCTCTGTTTAAGAAGGGGCAATGGCTTCAATTTTCTGTTTTGTCATCCCGATTAATGAAAAGAAGGTGAGGTGAAAAGAAAGGAAAGAATGAAAGAAAACATTTGTGTGTTATTCATGCGTGCTAAAGAGATGGCTAACATCAATTTCTTGTCATTTATTACTTGTTTGATACATATCTTCTAAATTTTGAAGACTTCAATCTAACAATTAACTTTTAAATTAATGGTAAATGAAGAAAAAACTTTAATTCTTATTAATCATCGTGCAACAAAATACAATGGAATTTATAGGAGAAGAATAGGCTAATTTGTCTAGATTCTCCAAGATTCTAATAAATGATCACATGAGTAATTCAATCCCAAATCAATTCCTAATAATTAGTTTACAAAAATAAAACTAAATAAAGTAGGCCTTATCCAAAGATTACTCATGAAGGAAGCTCATAAACAAATATTAACACTTAGGAATTGATGAGACTTAGAAAGAGAGGCAGAAAGATTGAAGAAAATGGAGAGTATAGAGAAATTAGAGGGAGAAAGTAATTGTTTAAGTAGCCATTGTTTGAGTCCCATTTTGAGAGAAAATGCATTTTTGAATAGTGGTTTTTGGAGAATGTGTGGTTAAAAATAAAAATTTCAATTTACGTGTAATATTATTTTATTGAATAATATGTAGTTGAAAACGAGTTTTGAAGAAATAATTTTTTGATAAAATGGGACTCAAACAAGGGCTTAATAATCAAGTTTAATCATTACAATGCTCAAGACTCTCTTAATATAGAGTTTAAACAAACCTGATATAAAATGAAACCCTAATTTAAGTCGAGCTAGAAAGCTATAATAAACTAATGTAAGCTAGTATAAATCAGACTATGGGCTTGTTTGATTCTCATTTTTCTCTCTTCTTTTTAACCACACATTCTTCAATATAATAGTATTACATGCAAATTTAAAATTTTATCTTATTTTTTAATCACACATTTTCATCAATCTACTATTCCAAAATGCATTTTTCCAATTTAATGGGGCTCAAACAAGTCCTGTATTTCTTCCTAATATACTAAAAAATCCTTTAATTCTTATCTTCGTTCCCCTTCAGTTACCCTAATCAGGTCACTAAATTTGGAATTCCACATAACTTTTATTTGTTCATGGAGTTGCAAGAACACTCATTATTGATTATCAAGCCTGACTGTCATAAGTATACAATTACCCATGTATTCTCAATGTTTTTCTCGAAATTATGATCAAGATCACGAAGATATAAACAGAAGAAAATCAATAAAAAGATGAATTGTTCCTTATATTTTGTTGGATACACAGAAATACGAACAATTTGTTAGATCATTGCAATAATGATTGCATGCTAGTATAAAATCATGTTTTGTTAAGATTATCATGTAATACCAGTTCGTTGACACTATCTGCTAGACTTCCTTGAAAAACCAACTCTGATAATGGTTACTTTGGAGATGCAGTTATCCAATTTTGTAAGCTCAGGACCTTAATTAACTGGATTTTTTGTTCTTTATGAGTACTTAGTTCCATTATATATAGTTCAGCTGGTGCCAGTCATTTGTGTTTAGTTTATATATGTTGTTCTGCCAGAGCTGTTTCGGGAACTTGATAGATTTAGAATAAAACCTGCAACTTGTTTATATATCGAGTCTAACTTCAATCCTGTACTTGACCATTGCAATCTTCTGTGATCAACCTATTAACTTTACCTCTAAAACTCATGCACTCCAGCTTCTTATGTTAAAGTCTGGGTAACATCCTCCATTATGGAATGGTATTCTCATGCTTCTTGTATATCACGCATCAAATTGAATTTGACTGTTTGACATAATGCTCCCGTGGAATGAGTGTTGAGGGAAATATCTCTTAGTTTCCCATTTCAACACATTACGGTTTGAAGTCGAGGAGTGACCCTGAAGTAGGAAACTATCCAGTAGATATTGAGCTTGCCATATTCTTCTGTTGGACAACACCATGTACTCCCTTCCATATTCATGATTGACGCTGCTGCTGGCCAATTAGAGGCTGCAATCCAGTTGCATCTTCCACATCCTCCATGTTTAAGTCTATCTTTTACTACCAATTTTGAGGCCATAGACTTGAAACTAACATGAAGGCTGTCTAAAGAACAAACAATGATGAAGGCTGTTTGAACTCCCAAATAAACTATTATGGCTTTACCATGTGAATTTTTTGGGATAGGTTTAAATACGCATCCTATTCCATGTAGCAGTCACAAGAACAATACAAGAGTTCTAGAAAACCAAACAAGTGTCCTAATATTAGAAGAGACAAATTAGCAAAGAATCAGGAAAACAAATCAACAAGGAATGAGGAAATATCTCACCCAATTTTCTATAGCCTATTTAAAGAAACTAATTGAAGTCAAGTATCTTAACAAATGCAACAAATTGGGCATGAAGTTCGTTGAAAAATTTTCACATTATTTTGACATTTTGAACAAATGTTTTATCACTAAAAAAAATGTTTCTAAAATTATATTTCAAAATTTACAAAATGGGTTTGCTGTCCTTGACATGTAAGCACACCTCCTTTTATCAAAAATTAAACTAGTGTAAATACAATAAGACACGCTGCACATGTCGGATGCTTGTAGGGGATGATCTCTCGTGTTGAAAATTTTATGAAGTACATGAAAAATTGGACACACCACGTGGCCTAGAGTGCAAGCAACGTTGGAACCCTACATTCCAGCCTAGGAGGAGTGTGTGGTTCACAGGTGACAGATAATATGAGAGGGTAATCAGTGAAGGTAGTAGCATTATGTTTGAAAAGAATAATTGGTTAGAGACTGAGAGAATGAGAAAAGAAGTGAAGTAGTCTGCAAGGGGATTTAATGAAATAGGATGCAATACTAATTCGAGGTCAAGAAAGCAGGACAAAGTTTCAATTGAAGATGAAGGCATCAGTACTATATGCCCATATTTCTATTAGGTGGATTGGTTTGAGTTGGCACATTAATAGAGACTTTCTTGAAGATGCATTTTTCATTCTTTTAGTTTCTGAATAGCTGAGATCCTTTAGAGAGATGCAACTGTATTGCTGGCCCAGGAGTATATGCAAATTATCTTTGTTATTACATTATCACTGAACGTTTGAATATGTAGGAAAAGGCTCAATATGATGCAGTAGAAGTAGTAATCACGTGCACCGGTGATGGTGAAAATTTGACTGGTAACTTTGTACTATAATATGCATTTTGCACCTATATGTTATTGAGATGGTTCACAAGTGGGCAGCAAGTAGCAGATCAATGTGAATGGGCGAACTGAGCAATCACATCTATTCTTTTTTAATGTTTAGTTGAGAGAGATGATATAGATTACATGCCAATACTAGTAGCACATTAAGTAAAAGAAGTCCCTCTTCGCAGGAATGGAGATTCCTTCCCTAAAATCCAAATCCAACCAACACCACCCGATCCGATCTTCATGGCGATGGCCATAAGGTCCCGTCCAAACACCCACAACCCCTGGCCTCACGCCACAAATATATGGCCAATCCGGCCATACAATACACAAGTAGGCAACGCAGAAGTTTCTAGCAATGGGAGGTGCGTTGTCTTGTGGTGGTTTGGATGCTTCAGGCGCCTTTAACCAGGATGGTAGAATGGGAGATACATTGGCCATGCGAGAGATAAGAACATGAGACCCAACTTCGATCTCCCAAGTTTCGACTACCTTTACGCTCCACGTGCCTGACCAGTTGACCGTGTAGGCCATTGCGATGACGGTCAGCTTGTTGCGTGGCGCACTACCGCTACGAAAGCTCATCTGTCGGCGCATGGCGTCAAAAACTAGTAGAGTCCCCCCGAAGAGCCCAGGTCATCTAGCCCATCTGTTTTACTGTTAGCTGCTTCACTTGCATAATATTAGGGGCCTGCAGTTGCCAACAGTATGATGGTTTTCAGTTCTCGATTTAGAGTGGAGGTGAAGGACTTTGTAGAGTTTGTAGTGATTATTAATGCCTCCGATATTGTTACGTTGATGGAATGAGGATCAAAGATATGGAATGCAATTTGCACGGGGAGGTTTGGTATCTTTTAGATGGTGAATATTGTGGATAAGTTGAGGTTAGTCGGCCAACTGAAGGATCTTGTTGCTTAGTTATGAGTCGTCAAACACTTTTTTAGCACAATGATGTGCGTAAAGTTGAGGTAGGTATTTGATAATAGCATTGTATGGGGAGAGGATCTAGAAAGGAGTTGTGGTAGTGCCGGAAGGTGCAAATGGAGAGGCATGGGCATCCATTTTTCGGGTGTTTCAAGCAGTTGTTGATTTTTTTTTTTTTTTTGGTCGTAAAAAACAAGGTTAAGCGTCAAACAGTTGAAGTGACAAGCAACAAAGGATGACTTATGCTAAAGTTACAGCAAACTCACAGATCTCGTAGAGCGCGGATCAACGGGTGCTATTGCGAAAGGAAAGGGAGGTTTATGGGAGTGATACTCATACACGACCTTCAGCTCCAAAGAAGGAGGGTCAACCATTGGTGCCTAAGTTTAAGGAAACGATTGCAGCAGATATATCTGGTAGCTTTTTGAATAATGCTGAAATAAGGGCCCACATCTAGGCGTTGAAAGGGGGAGTGATATAAATACATTGGTTAGTAGTGGGCTCTAGGATGATTTGTTATCATAAGTGTGGGGTGGGCGTGGATGAGTCTCTAGCTAATGAAAGATTGGGCATTAAGGAATTATCATCGAACTTGGTCTACACTAAAGATAAGCAGGTGGTGATTGAGCCAATTTGTGAGTCTCAGATACGGACTGAAGCGGAATTTATCGGAAATGAAGATGGGGAAAATTTAATAGGGTTAATACTGATTGAAAAAGACTCAGGGATTGAGGCATATTGTGAGGTGGAACCTTGGTCTAAGGAAAGGGAACCGAGAACGTAGACTCTGGAGTTGATGACGTTGGATGAGACTAGATACAGTTGTTCTACATTTGCAGGTGCGTTGGACACGATCCTACCTGTAGAGGTAGTGTCGGTTGAGAAAGAGACGAGGCTTTAAGGAAGAGCAAAAGGCGACAAGCTTGGCAACTATGATTGTGAAGACCTACAATGGGAGGTATTATAAGTCTCTAAAAAAGAAAGGGACTTGGGGACTGAAAAAGCTTCGGTGGCATGGGTTGATGGTGCTAAGAAGGGCAAAATAGACTAGAACGAGTACAAATGGAGGAAGTGGAGGGACATTCTTTGATCCTCTTGAATGTTTTTATGCAGATGAGACAATGAAAGTTAATGCACTTGAAGTTAGACCCTCACCTTCGAATGGGGTTTTTAAAAAAATTTAGGATTTCAACAGAGTAGACTCTTGTAATTATTTGAGGAATTGGAGGCTAGTAGAGGACAGTTGATGTGTACACCAGGAGGTAAAGCAAGAAGAAAGGGTGACCGTGAGCTTAAGCGTCTCGAATACTTGATAAATTATGACATCAAGGGTGGCGAGTCAAAGAGATGCTGGGGAGGGTTGAAGGAGTGTTATAATGATCCCAAAAATCATTATGTGAGGGGCTTAACGAAAATGGGAAAATGTTCGAAATATGATAAGGAGATGAAAGGCCGACCTTGTCCGTTTACAAGAAACAAAGTTGAAATTCATCTCTTTGTAGTCGTTTATAGGGGACAGCATGTCGGGTATTAGTTTTTAGGGTCATCAGGGGATTCAGGAGGTATGCTAGTCACATGGGACACTAAAGTTTTTGATATGGAGAAGGTTAGTGTATGGTTGTTCTGTCTATCACTTCCGTTTAGAAATATTAGGGATAGATTTCAGTGGATGTTTATAGGAGTTTATGGGCCTAACGCTGATGAGAATAGAGGGGCTTGTGGGATGAGTTAGCTGGTATGATGGTTTGGTGGATCCTCCTAGTGTGCATTGGGGATGATCTTAATGTTGGTTTGGTTTTCCATTGAGAGGTCGAGTGGAGGGAGACTAATAGGGGATATGGAGGACTTTTCTGATTGTCAGGAAGAATATGTTGGTAGATTTTTCTATCATTAGGAGAGATTTTACTTGGTCATCTAATTGGGATCAACCCGTTCAATCTCGAATAGATTGGTTATTGGTTAGTTGTGAGTGGGAGCTAAGTATTCAGATGTCACTCAAAGGAGATTGGGGAGGGTGTACTCAGATCATTTCCCTGTTTTGTTATCTGGGAATATGAGGGGTAGTAGAAGAAGGTCTTTTAGGTTTGAGAAGATGTGGTTAAAAGTGGAAGGTTTTGGGGAGTGAATACGGACTTCATGGGCCTCTTATGATTTCAAGGGGCCTCCCAGTTTTGTATTGGATCGAAAATTGAAGACTTTGAAAGGGGACTTAAAGAGGTGGAATGATTAGGTTGTGGAAGATGTGAACAATCGTAAAAATCAGTGTCTTTCGGACATAGAAGAGTTGGATAGACGGGAGGAGAGTCGAGGGTTGGTTGGGGAGGAGAGAGAGAGACATGGAGTGTTAAGGTGAGAGTTGTTCTCACTTATTTTTTCGAATGCGGCAGGTTCTTGAGAACTTCTAATGCCACATTTATTGAGCTAATTTCTAAGAAATCGGGAGTGACTGACATTAAGGATTGTTGTCCTATTAGCTTAGTCAATGAGGTGTATAAGATTATTGCAAAAGTCTGGGTGAATAATTTAAAGGAGGTGTTGTGCAAAGTGGGGTCTAAGTTTCAGAATGCTTTTGTGAAAGGGCGCTAGATTATGGATTTTGTTCTTATAGCGAACAAATGTATTGACTTGAGAATGCGTATGAAGGTTTCATAAATGTTATGTAAGCTTGATATTTAGAAGGCGTATGATCATGTGAATTAGAGGTTTCTTTTGTATATGCTCAGGCAATGTGGTCTAGGGGATAAATAGTGTAAGTGGATTCAATTTTGTATTTCTACGGTCTCGTTCTCAGTCTTGGTCAACAGCATCCTTGAGGGTTATTTTCGGAGCTATAGAGATTTGAGACAAGGGGATCTGTTATCTTCATTGCTGTTTGTTATTATAATGGAGGCCATCAGTAGGATGCTTGAGAAAGCTGTGGGGGGTTTGTTAAGAGGCATTGCGATTGGTCACTCACAATTTTCCCATTTGTTATTTATAGGTAATATGCTGATTTTTTATGGTACTGATGATGAGCAATTTAGGAACTTACGCCACTTGCTTTTGTGTTTTGAGGCGATATCTGGATTGAAGATAAATCTGGGGAAATCTGAGACTATTCCAGTTGGAGAGATCGCTAACGTGGAGTTGGCTGCTATATTGGATTGTCGAGTTGCTTAGCTACATATGTCATATCTTGGTGAATGATATATTAGCTATACATAATGAGAGTCTTAGCTGGAACTTTGTTTTCAGGAGGGGTATTGAGAATTGGATGATTATACGTGATTTTTGACCTCCTTGCATGAGATGCACATCAGGGTAGGAGATGATGATTGTAGCAAGTAGAGGGTGGCATAGAATGGTATTTTCTCTGTTCGCACTTATTTTAGGTCTTTATTGGAACCTATGGAGAAATCATTCTCCTTGGAGAAGAGTATGGCAATGTAAATTGTCTCAATATGTTGCATTTTTTCTATGAACAGTTGTGAGCTGCAGGTGTTAACAGTAGATAATCTTTGAAGAAAAGGTTTTTATGTTACCAAGTGGTGCTATATGTGTAAGAATGATGGAGAGACCATTGACCACTTTTTCATTCATCGTGATGGTGTTCGTTGGCGGTTGAACGATATTATAACTTTTTAACATATGAATTGAGTGTTGCCTAGGCGTATAGAAGACATGGTGCAGGCATGAAGGAGAAAGCTTTCAGATAAGAATAGCAAACTTAATTGAGATCTTATTTCATGTTGCGCTGTATGATGTGTGTGGAGAGAAAGCAAGCTGTTTTGAAGATTAAACACGGACGACGAAGTAGATTAGAGAATTGTTTTATTCTAATTTGTATACTTAGCTTAATGTTGCGATTACTAATCCGGTAGAAGGGCCGCCTAGTTTCATGTTGTTCCTATCTTTTTAAAATTGATAATAGACGTCTTATATATTATCCTTTAATTAATAAAATTATTTGAGTACTTATCAAAAAAGGTAGCATAGGGGTACTCACTATTTAGTTAAAGCAGTTGCATATATTTTTATCAGTGATTTTGACAACTAGTAACATGAAGACTTACGAAGTGCGGATAAATTTGAGATCTTACACTTTGATGTTTGTTGGCTGTAGTAAAGGTTTATTTATTTTTATTCAGTATTCTTTATCTTAACACATTCACGTATATTGACTTACTGTACTGCTACATACTGTACCTTTTCCCCTTTGTTTTTTCTGGGAGCTCCTTGTGGTTTCAACATCAGTAATGAAATTACTTGTGTCCTCTTTGCAGTGTGTGGTCTGCTGCCATCGATGCACTTGCGTCATTTGTAAAGTGTTTTGTTTCTTCTGATGCTGATAACAAGGGAATTTTACTTCAACCAGTGTTACTATACCTTAACAGGTAAGAGTAAATGTACAAGATTTTTTTCCCCCTGTTCGGCCTTAAGAATTTATTAAGCCTGTGTTTTGCTTCCATAGAAAGAGCTGGTTTTACTAATAATTTAGAATTCTTATGGAGCAGGGCCTTGTCGTATATTTCAATACTAGCAGGCAAAGAACAACCAAATATAAAACCTGCAATGAATGTATTCATCATCAAGCTGTTGTTAACATATGAAGCCCTTTCAGATCCATCTTCATACAGAATTGACCATGCGCATATTATTCAGATATGTACAACTCCTTTTAGGTAAACACTGACTGGACACCCTTGCCTGCTGATAACTTTTATCCCGTTGATTTCTTTTTTACTTCAAGATGAAGGAATCTGCTGCATCACGAACATGAAATTGGGTGCAGTGCGCATTTCTTTGTTTCTTGAATCAACTAAGTCTTCTTCTATGTCTTGGCTTTGAAATGTAAAACAGGGAACCTTCGAGATTTGAGGAAAGCTCCTGTTTGAAGTTGTTGTTAGACAAGAGAGATGCATGGTTGGGACCTTGGACTCCTGGAAGGTTTACTCTTGAAACTTGCATATTTTCTTTTTCAGTAGTACATATGTTATCATGTCTTTGTAGTTTAAACTGTGTTTATTTATTGACAGTTCTTCTCACGATTCTTTTTATCCCATTTCCCAATAAGGAACTATTAAGTTGTACCTAAATCTTATTGTTGTTTATTCACGTTGGCTATGAATTAGGGACTGGTTTGAAGATGAACTTCGTTCATTTCAAGGGGGAAAAGATGGCTTATTCACTTGTGTTTGGGAGAATGAGCCTTCTAGTTTTCCTCAGGTATAGGACAGGCTACTACCCCTACCCACCAACTCAAGGGTCATACTCTGCTTACTTTCAGGAAATAGTCAAAAAATTTGATTTCTTGTCTCCTGACATTAGTACATGTAATTTGTCCTGTAGCCCGAGACTATTAGCAAGATGTTGGTGAATCAGATGCTCCTTTGCTTTGGTACCATGTTTGCTTCTCAGGTGAGTGATCAATATTGCTGGTTTTGCTTTCTATTTCATAGACATTGGTCAAAATGAAGATATCTGATTGTTTTCATCTTGATTTTTATGTTTTATCCCAGGATAGTGGTGGGATGCTGTCGCTTCTTGGCATGATTGAACAGTGTCTGAAAAATGGAAAGAAACAAGCTTGGCATGCAGCCAGTGTCAGTAATATATGTGTGGGGTTACTGGCTGGATTGAAGGTGATTATATTATCTTTTGTCTGTTAATATTACCTGTAGTTTTTACCTGTCTAACACTTAGTGTACTGTTTTTCTCCAGAATTTACTCTCCCACCATCACGAGCCCCTTGGGATGGAGATATTGACTGCCGCTCAGGCTATTTTTCAGGTTTTACTGTCACTTTTAACTGCAAATTTCAAAGATTATGGTGTATTTTTTTTTTTTTTTTCACTCCTTAGACGTAACTGATGGAGTAATCATGACAGAGTATTCTAGCCGAAGGTGACATTTGTGCATCGCAACGCAGAGCATCAGCAGAAGGGCTTGGCTTATTGGCGAGGCTCGGAAATGATGTATTTACTGCCAGACTGGTTAGTATCCTGTATTTTTTGGGGTTTTGTATCTCTTCATTTTCTTTTATATTGTTAGGCTTAATAATTATTTTGTGAAACATTTCCCTTCAAATGTACATTGTTTCTTTCATGTGAGCTAGGACTTCAGATTCTTGAAAAGAGGTCCTGAACCCAAATTACTTTGTTAATTGCAGATACATGACTGTTCCTCCATGAATTTATTAATTGTCAAATCTGATTGGTAAATTTGACAAAGACAACGTAGATTTAGTTCACTTTTAGTTCCACGTGGCTGTCCAAAAGATCATTATTTGCTGATTTAAAGTCAATTTTATATGGCAGTAGATTATTACTCCTCTAGCACTTCTGCTAGCTATTGTATATTTATTTTAAAACCTATGCATATATCACAAATTATTGTCTCTCTTTCATAAATTTGTTTACTCAATAGCTACTCCATTACTCTGTATTATTTGAATTTTTAAGTTTTCTGCTTTGTATCCATTAATGGTTCAGATTCCTGCATTTTTCCCCATTCCTCTCTCCTTCCATCCTTTTTAGGGATTTATTATATTATTGTAAATTAATTTTACCACCAACAGATGAAACTTCTTCTTGGCGATGTTGGTGGGATTGTGGACTCATTCCATGCCGGTTCAATTGCTCTTGCACTTGGCTGTATTCATCGCAGGTAATCATGGGACTAGGAATTAACATATGGATGAAAGTGTTGAACCATTTGATCTAAAAGCTTAATCTTTTAGATTGGGCCAAATGTATATCATTTAGGGGACATGTTGAAGATATTATTTAAATAATATACAGTTGGCTCGATCTGACAGCTGAAGTTTTTAGATTTAGCGATTCATCGGTGGTATTAGAACCGGTAATTGTCCTGGGTTCAAGTCTCATTGCCACCCATTCATATGAATTGTCCATATTTTAGGCTTATGGAAAAAAAGATGTATCCTGCTTACACACGAGGGAGCGTGAGGAAAGATAATACTAAAATGACATACATTTGGCCTGATCTAAGCTTTAGATCAAGTTGTTCAACAAAATGCACAAGAAGTGAGCAAAAGATCTCACTCACTCATCCTCTCAGGTTGATAAATGCCATTGAACTGTTGGTTTGGCGAAGTAATTCCTGTGCTGTTATTTTCTTCTGCTCTCTTGTACATTCTTCTTCCAAATTTTTATTTCTTAAAAGCCTAGAAGGGTTATCTGGATAAGAAATGAAGCTTGGTAAAAGAACTCTGGCTATTTGCGTCTTACATCATAGAATCAGTTCGATACTGGCATCTGTATTATGTTAGCTACAATGACAATCACTTCACAATTGCCAATATTGTGATGAGTACTATAACACATTAGGAACCAGCAAAGTTTCACTTTTATGTCCACCCCCTTACAAGTGAAAGAGACAATCAATATCAAGTTGCTGACAACATCTGTAAAAGTTCTGTGCACCTTACTCATATATAAAAAAGTCACTTGTTTTTCTTTTGTTGTTCGTGTTGGTTTGGCCCTACTTTCAGTAGATCACCTCCATGTTTTCCATGTAGTCTACTAAATTCTTGTTCAAATGTAACTCATGCCAATATTGTGCCATGTGTACCACTTCTTAATGACCTATTTTTAATTACCCTGTAGTGGCATGTGGCAAGTACATAGCAGAATTCTTGGTCTTATACTGCCCACAACTGCAAATCATAGAAAATTTTCATACGCTTAGTCTTGTTTGCAGTGCAGGAGGAATGGCTTTATCAAGTTTAGTGCCCACTACTGTGAACTCGCTATCTTCGCTTGCTAAAAGTTCAATAGCTAGTTTAAGGATTTGGTCCTTGCATGGCCTTCTTTTGACCATTGAAGCTGCTGGTTTGTCCTATGTATCTCATGTTCAGGTATGTATGTGTTTGGTTTACGATGTACACTTGCTTTCCGTAAGAATATGTTTAAAGTTCAATTATTTATTTTCATTTCTCTTCCCAGAATATGATAATCTTCGCCTGTAGTTTTGTTCAATAGTATTCCATTCACAATTTTCTGGTTCTCCCTATGTTATGTTCTTTCTCATTTCTAATAATGGGGGAACGGAAATATAAGATTTGAAATCTAAAATGTGGAAAGGAAGTACTAAGAGAGGTGAACTTTTGCACTAAAAGAGTCAAAAAGGAGGGGAAACCATAGCAACGTTATGAGTTAGATGCTTTTGCTTTTTCGAGATTGAGATGCATTTGTAGCCCTTGTTTGAGTCTCATTCTATAAAAACCCATTTTTTTCCATACTCATTCAATTGCACACTCTCAATAAAATAATTTTAAACGTAAACCCAAAATTTTTCCTTATTTTTTAACTACATATTTTCCAAAAAATTACAATTGCAAAATTTATTCTCTCAAAAGATGGAGCTCAAAAAAATCCTTAGTGCATGTTTGAGCGCCTTTTTTTTAAGTAATCATATAATTTTATTAATCAAAAGAGAATACACATGAAGTATATTATCTATTTAAGCAAGAATGAAACAACATGAAATTAGGCCGCCCTTCTATAGGATTAGTAGCCACGGCTTTAAACCAAGTATACAAAGTCAGATTAAATAATTCTCCTGTTCTGTCGTCCACGTTTGGTCTTCAGAACAGTGGTTGTTTCTTTCTCTCCACACGCGCAAGATCCCACGGCTACGACCATCAACTTAGTTACCCTAGCGCTCACAACGCATCCCAGGATTAAACCCGTACAAGCTTGCTATCCTTATCACGAAATTTTCTCCTCCAAGCCCGCAGCACATCGTCTATACACCTAGATAACACCCAATCCATATGTTGAGAAGTCAAAATACTGTTACACAGCCATTAAACACCATCATGATGAATGAACACAGGCCCTTAGTACAGCACTATTAATGAAACTACTATGTTTTGCATTTGCTTCCACAAACTTAGGCACCATTAGTTCTAGGTCACTCACATTAGCTGCCCTTTCCTTTCGCAGTAGCACCCATTGATCGGCATTTTGCGAGGCCTATAGGTTTATCGTCTAGCAAAAGTCATCCCTTGTTAATTATTTATGTCCATCATTCGACGTTTGGTCTTGTCTCCAACGACAAACGAATCTACAACTGTCTAGAACACCCGTGAAACTAATGACCATCCCTGTCCATTCGCACCTTTCAGCACCACCACAATTCCCTTCTGACGCTTCTCTCCATACTGTGTTATCATCAAATACCTAATACGATTGGTCGCACAATGCTGCGTTCAAAAAGCTCTTGAAGACTTGTTAAATTTAGCAACAAAATCCTCCAACTTACAGACCACCTTCACCATATTCACTATCCAAAGTTCTCCAAACCTCCCCGTGCATATTGCGTTAGATATCTTCAATCCCCATTCCGTCAACTTAACACACTACGAACTCTTTCGCCTTTACTGTAACTTTTACAATTGCAAACTTTTTCCTTTGATTGTGTGCAAACGATGCATGTGACGTGCCGCCGGAGCGACGCTAGCTCCACACAACTGTCCCTCTGATGGCAAATGGCATGCACGACTTGTAGGTCTTCCATCTAGGGCCATCGCCTGCGAGGGTGGTTTATGGTCGGATTGGCCTTCGTTTTGTGGCGTGAGGCCGATGGGTTTGGGGTTTCTGGGAAGGCCTCATGGTCGTTGCCCATGACGCCTTGAATGGGTGTTTTAGGTGATTGTTGGGTTTGTGTGTGATATTATTCTTTTGAAGAATGTGTAGTTGAAAATAAGAGAAAGAAAAATGCATTTTAAAAATAATGAGGGCCAGACAACAAGGGCTTCATGTCTTGACTCTTGAGGTAACAGATTTTGAATTTAACTAAAGAGACTTTGGATTACTCTTAAGTTTTATATTTGAAGCTATTACTCAAGAAATTAATCGTCAACTGAAGTTTCATGCTTCACTGCTACTTTCAGTTTAATAAGTAATGTATTTGAAGGATCTTATTAAAGTGTTGGTTTGGTGATTTTTAAGTGGTTTTTAATTATGAAAATTCATGATTTTGCAGTGAAAATGTGCATACGTCTGTGTGAGTGTGTACATAAATGCATACATACATACATACATACATACATATACAGGGAGGGAGGGAGGGGAAAGGAAGAGAGATTGCCATGTAGAGGTGGGTGATTCTGTGAAAATTGTAAGATTTTGACCTCGACTTCTTTTTGTTAATGAACGATTAACAATTTCTGTGATGTTTGATGTTGCATGAGATGTGTGTTTTCAAGGTCTCCAATCAGTTCTTATCATAAAGAGTATTTATATCATTTTCTGAAACTGCCAATATGATATTGCATCTTTCCGTTTGATATTTACCTATTCTAATCAAATACGGCTCTCTGCCTTTTTATGTTTTTGCAGGCCACACTTGGCCTTGGTATGGATATTCTCTTGTCAGAGGAGAGTGCCTGGGTTGACCTGCAGCAGGGTGTGGGCCGTCTTATTAATGCTATTGTTGCTGTTCTTGGTCCTGAACTTGTGCCCGGTAGCATTTTTTTCTCACGCTGCAAGGTGGGTTATTTTATTCTCCAAAAGTTGGGAAGTAAGATTTTTGAGTTCATTGACCCTAAATTTTTTATCACTCTGACTGTTGGCCATTTATTGTGGCGACTTCTATAGTATGGTATCTTCCTGTCACGAGATAGTTTTTGTTATATGTTAGAATAATGCTATGTAGTACAATTGGTGCTACAACACCAATCTATGTGGTGCTATAAGTTAGGCTCAATGAAAGGTGGAATTAAGTTACTTATTTAATTGCACCTCTCATTTAATGCCACACTAGTGCATCTAGACTGGTGTTTTACACAATGGTGCTAAATAGTACAACCGTATTTATTATCGGTCTCCTCTAGATTGCTGGTTTTTGAATTTAATCTAAGTTATGCTTTCATGTATAGTCTGTTGTTGCAGAGATCAGATCATGCCAAGAAACAGCTACACTTACTGAGTATGATAATTCATCTATTGCTGACGTATGTAACTGAGCAAAAATGCATGATTTAAACTTTTTGCTTGTTTACTTGGCAGGTGCGTCCGTTTTACGCAACAACTAGTTCTTTTTGCTCCCCAGGCAGTTTCTGTGCATTCCCATGTGCTAACTCTTCTCCCGACTCTATCCTCAAGACAGGTATATCTTTCAAAATTCATCTGACGGTGTTAGATAGTCTCTCTAACCTGACTCTAAAACAGCCAGTTTCATGTGCCAGCCAACTCTGAGACATCTAGCTTTGTCCACTCTACGACATCTTATAGAGAAGGATCCGGTTAGTAACTATTTTTTGTTCTCGACCAGCTTTTTTGGATACATGTTTCCTCTGCCACACACACACAAAAGGAATGTAATAAGAAGGAAAAAAACTGCTTCTCGAGCAATACAATTAAAAAATTTTGCCAGTACATAAATGCTTCAAATTTTCAACATTTCCATTCTATTTAGTTACCCATTTTGATAATCAAATTGCAGGTTTCCATGATCGATGAACAGGTAGAAGAAACATTGTTCCATATGCTTGATGAGGAAACCGATTCAGAGTAATCATTCGTGTTTATTCTATGTACTTTTTATATTTTCTTTTAAGTTATGCTGCGACACCAAGCTGATCTTCTCATGCATATTCTCTTTCATTTAGTTTTTCTTTTTTAGGAGCATTTTTGTTATTTTGGTTTGATGGCTCTTTTTGAGGCTGTAAAGCTTAATCTAATGCTGGTTGGTCTATCCTTTAAGATGACAATGCATATAATGGACATGAATACTCCAACATTATCTTCTATAATGAACAAAAACTTGACATGTAATGGTTGCATCTGAATTAGACTCTGATTTCGTATTTCACTTCTACTGGATGAGTCCAAGCAACATCTAAGTAGCTGAATAGTGCTGCATGTACAGAGGTCTTATATTGAAAACATGGAGCAGAATATCCTTCTGCGCCAAATTGATTTTCTTGATTCTATTTTTGTTTGGCCTAACTTCTAATATATTCTTCTGGTATCAGATTCCAGTTTTTAGATTTCTGTGAGTAAGACGATGGTACATTTTTTTGTGTATTCTTAGTTTTTTTGGACCTTTTTTTTTTTTGCAGGATTGGTAATTTAGCACGTACCACGATCGTGCGATTGCTATATGCATCATGCCCGTCTTGCCCATCTCACTGGATGTCAATATGTCGAAACATGGTAACTCCCTTGATCTGGTAATTTAATATATTTGTGTTGAAAGTTCATGCTCAACTTTATGCCTTATTCAGAAATAAATCAATTCTGTAATAAAAATGCCTGCAAATTTCTTGATATAGCACTCTTTATCAATTATAGGCCTAAAAGTCTACTTCTTGCTATCGGAAATGCGTGTGGGCTTGTAATCATATTCTATTGCTAAAACTTTTTCCTATATTTATTTGCCTCTTATCGTACATTTTTTCATTAGGAATTGATGATCTATTAACAATACCTTCTAAGCGATAGCTAGTTCAAGCCATATTTCAACCTGGACGTTTTCGAAATGCCGCTAATAACCAACGAATGGCAAGTGCTTGCATCCTTGTCGCATATATTATTAAGGAGCTGTTATATTGGATTTTATGTGCAATATTAAAGAGATGGAAAAAGAAAATCAACACAAGAATTTACGTGGTTCGGCGGTATGCCTACTTCCACAAGAGCGAAATGGAGATTTCTTTATTCAGTTGAAAAATAGGGTTATAACATATTATTTATACTAACATTAGCCTGGCCCATATAAGACTTTAAGGCCCGTATAGGAAATACCCCTGTACCATACCACGGGGGCCCTCAACCCATTCAATGTCCCTAACAATCAGACAGTGAATTAAACCCGCGCAAGGTCGATGTCGTCACTCTGCTCTGCTCCGTTCCGTTCAATGCGCTCCACTCCTCTCACTCCACTTCGCTCTGTGCCGACATCGGCCCATTTGATCCAGGACCTGTGTTCCACTCTATATGAGCCACATGCACAACATGTTACAAAACCCAACAACAAAGAACCTATGGTAGGTAGGATACATGGCAACTGGATAATGATGGCATTTTTTGCACATCACATTGCCAGAGTTAGTCGGTGTCCGATACTTGTCGGACATTGAAAGTAGCCATTGCTGGCGAGTACAGTGGTAGAAAGAGAAAGAGAAACCAAGCTCTAAGCTTTAGAGCTTGTTTGGTATGGATTTTGATAATTGATTTTTTCACCATTAGAGATAAAATGAGTCTTACCTGTGAGAGAAGAATTTAAAAATAACGGCTGGAATAGTGAAATAACGGTTAAAAAATTGATTTTAATTGGCTTTTAATCCGTAACAAACAAGCACTTAGTTTTGCAAGGAAGAAGACCGCACTTGAAAGTATGGGTGAACAAAAAAATCACTAACCCACCAAGCCAAACCTAAACTGTGGTTTTGAGATTGTTTGTTTGGAAATTGTTAGGTTTAATTTCAACATTTGGAAAATCGAACCAAACTGAATGGAAATTGTTTGGTTTAGGCTTCAATAGTTAATAAAAATCACTCGAACCCAAATCGAACCGTCACTCAATCTAAATAAAGAAATATTTGTTTTTATCGAAAATACTATTTATTAGATCAAGTTAAGTTTCAACAAATTCAATTACTACTTAGCTTCTACTGACTCGAAATAATGATTTAAGATAACATTTTTCATAGCTATTTCAAAAGTAATGAATTTGTAAGCTTAAATTTAAGCTTGAATGAGCAAGTTTTTTACACTCGAGAAGAAATTACATGGGACAGCTGAATAGAGACAAAGTTAGTGTTTGGAAGGATTAACATGGACTTACAATGTTTTCAAAAAGGTGTTCTCCTGTTTAAGATGGACTTATTCCTTGATCTTCTTCCATGTTCAGCCAATCTGGAGTGAAATTTAAATTGGATGTGAGAAATGCATTCTTTCTGGAGGTGCAGTGGATAAAGTGCTGTAATACATTCCTTAAAGTTGTTTTAGTGAATTGTTTAAAATAATAGCGTGTGCGGCTTAAGAAAATTTCTAATTGGATTGAAACGATCTCTTGAAGCATT